TGGGAATTTGTGCATGTGATCAAACTGAGACTAATGTGACGAAATCATGTCAAGCGAAATTGAAGTTCAATAATCAATCGAACATCAGGAATACCAAATCCTCTTCTTTGGATTGGTGTCGAAAAAATCTCGCATGCAAAACGCGAATAAACATTTTCTTCTGCAGCTATAGATAAATGAATGAATAATTAAATGCACATTTTCGAATATTTCATTAACAGCAGTGGCATAGTAATTATTGAAAGATAATCCATGTCCCAGCAGAGCTGTCAGAACAATCAAAATAATCTAAGAATATAAAGTAATAATGGGGTAACTACATAATTTGGATAAGTACTTCAAAATAATGGAATAGAGTTTTTCTGCAATCGACACAAAAGTCGTCCATTTTGATACCAAAATTAGATCTTAAATTGACGTTTCTATTACTGACACAAAAATGGGTATGTTGCTAGGCAACATATTATTTAGTTCCTAGGAGCTAAAGTTGAATTTTAGTTCCTAGGAGATAAAGTTGAACTTTAGCTCCTAGAAACTAAAAAGGATCTACTGGACGTCATCAAGAATAAACAAAATTGTGACGGTTGGGGTTGGTTATTTGGGTTGAGACGCATACCTGATTTGTTTCCGATTTCAGCAGATTTGGCATTTCATACCCATGCTGGAGATATAAATACACCTTATTCTAGTTCAGTATTGGAATTATAAACATCTCAGTTAAGTATTTTTGTTTTGATCAGGGAAGCCTTCAAGATTCAGATACTTGCTTGATCTGTATTTCATTCGTTATTCTCGGAATGGATAACTTGTTTTTGAATAATCACGGCAAGCAATAGTTTTTTTGTCTCAAACAACGATATTGTTTAGCTTCATTTGATTATCAAGTCAAACACAGTGTAGTATGGAGAGGAATAAATAATCACTATTATCATTGTTGATATGCTCACTAACCTAACATTTTCCTCGTCTTGTTCCTATACCTGGCACTGGCGCGGTATTTGCCATTAGAGCACCTGGTCCATTCGCAAATATGTCACTCTGTGATTGTATTTATATTGAAACTACAATTCGAACATCCTTGAAAACCTAACCTGCTGTTAATGCAGGTAGAATATTCTCACCACATGGATTATTTGTCAATATTTGTTGCATTGCATACATATGGCACAGCATTGGTGGTTACATGTTTATTTGAGTTAATTGTTTCGGTTGCAGAAAAAATAGCATGTTTCATTCGGATCAAAAGTGACACTTTGTTTGACAAGCGAATTTTGCATTTGTAAGGCGGAGTGTTTAACAATCTACTATTCTCACTGAAACGGATCCATTGTATTCCTATAAAAAAGGCAATCTGTCATCCATAAAGGTTTTCGAAGAGGATATCATGTTTCGTTTGCACTCATTTCATAGGTATAGATAGGTTTCTATCTAAATCTGTGACTGATGTACTTCTTAGAATGGCACATGGGATATTGTAGACTGGAACTGATTTTTAACAGATTTAAAATTTCAGTCCTAAGTAACTCCATATGGTGCAGAAATACAATATGTGTGCAGATGGGTACCTAGTTATTTTAGTGCATTGTGATTATTTCCGTAGATACGTGTAAATCCATTCGTTCTCTCAACTGAGAAAGGTCCCTAGGTATCAATCACAATTATTTTGATTTTGAGGTGCACCTAAAATAGAAATGAGATAAATAATACCGGGTGACCAGTTATATTCTGACCCATTTCAAATGCTCATATCTCTGAAACCATTCAAGTTATCGTTGTGCGGTTTGGACTAATCTATTTCGATGTTTTTCAAGTTTTTTTGACATGTGCATCTTCTCACTCGAACTTCCGGTTCTACCGGAAACAAACAAGCAATAATCCAGGTATAGGGCAACTTTTTTATTTCATTGAATCACCCTGTATATTTTTGCACATTCAGAAAGACTGGTCTTTTCTCTATCTAACAATGTGTTACAAGTTATGTTCTCCTAGAAAACTATTAGATTTATAACTCTTTGAAACAACTACTGCTTGTGGAATGGTTTAATGAGATTATGCAATGTTATCAAAGTTGCCCTATACCTGAATAATGACTTGTTTGTTTCCGGTAGAACCGGAAGTTCAGGTGAGGAGGTGAACCAGTCAAAAAACTTGAAGAATATCAAAGAGAGAAGTCCAAACCGCACAACGATAATTTGAATAGTTTCGGAGATATGAGCAGTTGAAATGGGTCAGAATATAACTGGCCACCCGGTAATATATTATATCCTATTGGAATATTTGAATACCTCGCAAAATGTAATTGGCTGTACTGAATCTACGCCGGCCGCTTCATGTTATCTTTCCATTTCTCTGACAGTTAGATGTGATGTAATGATGTAAATAAAAAAAAAATCGATTTCTAGTATTATTACAGGTAGAAGCAACACATACTGGCATCTTATTATTTTCGCACATTATTCCCAATTTGACAAACCAGGAATTAATGTCATGTAAGGAAACCCCAAGGAGAGTATCAAATACATTGAAGGAACCCAAGTTTTCATTATACACGGTGCTATTCACTGATCTTAAAAGAATCATAATGTAGCTTCATGTTATTTCTACATTTCCTTCTATTATTAACCGTTCAATCTCTTCAATTAGAAAAAGAATCAGTTCTCATCAACTGGTCAGATACCGAATCTCCCGCCATGTCCACTATACAGGGTGGTGACTTCAACTGGAATAAATTATCTAGTGGGGAGGTGAATGATTTTGCTGAATAGACTTCAAAAAGTGAAAAAAATTCCGCGTTTTATAGTATTTGTCAGTATTATATTTCTCAGAAAAAGAACAATGTTTCTTCAAGAATGTCTTTATTCGTGAAATATCCCAATGATTTCTGTTTTTTACAGTATATCACCTGGCGAAGCTACTGTGTTAGAGAAACATGTCGTATGTTTGAGAATTTTGTGGAAATCTTATTGTTTTTGAACATATCCCAATGAATTACATTCGTGCATGAAAATGACCAGATAATTGATGATTGAACATAATGAATGATTAAACACCACGTGTCGTATGCAATCAACAATGCATTTTTGTGCTAAATCTCATAACTAAGAGATCTAGGATGAACAGAGTTGCCATAATTGTCAGCAGGAGCGAGACAGTACTGTTTCGACCCACCAGGTCTCATCAGCCGCTCTCGGTCTGCTGACAACTGAGACAACTCTACGCTTCGGGTATATCACCCATTTCGAAGACGCAGGGTATAACATGAAGTTGTAGTCATGTTGTAGCCTTCTTGTGGCAAAGCTCTGAGGTAGGGTACAGAGATATCGCGACATACACTGTATGGCGCTGCCATCTATAGTCACACGTACAGACCCCTACGTCTATACGCTACAGAGTGGTACTACAAGTAAATCACTCTGCTATCATTTTTACTCAGGTAACATCATCATATATGTCATATTTGCACCATGTCTTGCCTTGTTTACGAAAATTGAGAACAGGAAAGTTGGATTGCGAATCTGTCTTCAATTTTGTGTTTTCGAAATGTATACTGCACAGCATTGGCACCCAGTAGCGCTTTGTTGTCTTTTCTCCTGGGTTTGTTGATAGTTTATATGGTTCTTTATTCAATTCATTGTTCTTGCATTTGATTATTTCACTCACAATAATTATTACTTTGCGAAAAACAGTATTTATCAAAACTACATCTCCAATTCGTTGTTGTGAAAAGGTAAGACCAATAATTAACCTCTTGTTTTTATTGTTCATGTCCTTAATTTCCTTTTTGGATCAAACTTTTTTTTTTCTGGTGAAATGGATGCCTTCTTACTGATGGCACATTTCAGAAGTGGTACTCGTAATCCTGATCACTTCAAAGCTGCCGGGAACAATTTCATAATGAATTTCCAAATGCAAATATCCGATACACCTATGCTTTATTTTAATAGCAGCTGTTAATTTCCAGTTATTTATTCATCAACTGTGCAGTGTTGGTCGCAAACACATTTTGGTCACGTGGTGTTCAATCATTGTTGAAGACCCGGTAAAAAGTGCATTCGGTTATTTTCATATTTTGGCGAAAGGGACCAAATCCGACGGAGGAAGGCTCTTTCGCCAAAATAAACTTGCACAATTTTCAGATAACAAGCTCACTCGCAAAATTATATCGGTAATTTTCATGGCACTTCTGCAACTATAACGGAAAATTCTGGGGACACGTTTACGTTTCAATGTATTTACCTACATTTTGCAAGCAATATGGGGAATATTACAATTCAGGGGTAGCTGAAATCAGCCCCAACATGTTTTTTTCAAATGCAACCCTATGGCTTGTGGCTTTTTTGGGTGTCGCATTAAATCAAAATAGAATTTCAAAGTTCAATATATTTTCAACGTATTTTCATCGAAATTTCAATTTTTAGTGACAGTGATATCAGGCATTTTTACGAGATTGCAATAACACTTCGTTTCGAACTGTTAATATGACATAAAAGCTAAGAATTTGTTTTTGCTGCTCTATAAAAAAACACTGGCATACAATAGCAGATAGCAGTTTTCGCGAAATATTGTTATCTGATATTTAGGGACATAAATACTGAGGGGCGCTGCATTGATTGCAATGGTAATACATGGCGTATCCCATTTGAAAAAATTGAGGAACCTTCAAAATCTGAAAAACTGTTGATTTGGCAAAATTGCCGATAACATGTACCATATTTGAATTGGACATCATCAAAAACGCCTACTTTATGTCCTTGATACATAAATAACGATTATGAAATAATGTTATTAATTATTGAGGGTGTAGAGGAAATCTTGAATTCGTGTAGAACAATTAAAAAAAAAGAACATCAAAATCGAATATAGTTGGTTCAGAAAATAATCGAGACCAAAATCGAGAGAATATCAGATAATTTAGTTTTCTAATTTTCTACAAACATCTATTCAATTATTTTCTATCGATAACTATACGTGGCCCGAGTCATATTTTCCTCGAACACATTTTATTTTGACACCAGGACAGTCTTGTACTCTCTTCCTACCCTACACAGGATAATTTTGTGTTCCTGCAGATTGTGACCTATTCCTGGTATATACGCCACCATCTCTTTTCCATTCGATAATCTAACCAAGACGCTTTTTCTGTTGGCCGAGTTCGGTCTCTTTGGTTTCTTGATGAGCGTTCTCAATGCAACCCCTTTCATGAAAGAAATGCCATCCAAGGATTCACGTTGTGGCCTCTTTTTGATATGAGGACCTGTTCTGTGCATTTGGGCTAAGGATATGCCATAGGTCTCTCTTGTATCGTTATAAATGATAAGTAGTTTGTTAGTTATGATGAATGTAAAGTCTTTGTGAATCTTATTCTCCATAGTATTTCTAATTCTAAAGAGGGAACTGGTTGGTATGCGTCCAATTCCTATAATACGCTAAACTGAGAAAATGAATGAAAATTTGTATAACCAAATGTAATGGTGGTTTTGAATTAGTTTCATCAAACACAACACATATTCGTGATATCACTTATTTGAGTGATCAATACTCAGACAAACCTATTGCATACTACCTCCGACTATTAATAGTTCAAATTATTATTCACCACTTCATCAAATAACATGTTCCATATCCAGTAACTAATAAATATCTCTTATGTAGTGGTATTAGGATTGTATTGAATGTTACTCCCCTGATATTTCTATTTACCACTCCGTATTAGTGCGTACGGTAATAATAATGGGTTTACTTTTTGTGATGTACAAAACTACCACATCAGAGGGTAATATGCCGAAATCACGAAGCCGATCGTCCAACTTCGTTTTTTTCAATGCATGCAATGGCGTTGGCGTGGTCGTTTCATCAGTTCATAGTTCATCTTTCGTTGCGTTCGTCTCGTGAATCATGAATGAAATAAATTTCATTGGCCCAAGGAGTTTTCATTTGCAGTGCATGTGTATAGTGTAAGTACCTACTTACCTACAAACTGTGGTACTGTGAAGTGTGAACTGTACCTGATAGTGGTAATTCGAAGAGTTGTCACCGGTGTTCAACAGTAAGTAAAATACCTATTCGTTTCATCTTGAAAGTGAAATGGCAGGTGAATGTTGCACGCGTTATTGAGGAGAACGAGAAAATCTCAATTTACACAATAATTCGATGTTTCTCTCATTCCCAACTTCATTCATATACTCAGATAACTATCTCTACTACCTACCTAATTATCATAATATACCTGCAAATTATTGGGATTCCGTGATATTTTCCAGTTTTTTCTCCAAATAAGTATGTCCCTGACGGCTGTAAAAAAATATTGATTCAGAGTTTGAACAGACAAAAATGAACGAATCTATAAGCAGAAATCACTAGTTGGTAGTGGTAAATATGAATTGAATAAGTAGAGTATAAATTTATTATATGTAGTGGTAAATACGAACCGACGAGCTGTATAGTATTATTTACTGATTTGTAGTGGTGAATAATAACCAAACAGGTAGGGTCTCTAATAACTGGTGCTTCAGTATGTCATATTGCCCCAATCATACTATTTTGTAGTGGTTATATTTGATGAATGTAGTGACTGGTGCCTATTTAACCACAACGCTTGGTATGGTATAGTGAACTTTAGGTATTTACAACAGATAATTTCTCTCAGTGTATCCTTCGAAAAGATTAGGACTTCCTCGGAGTATACGTTTCCCTGTTTTCACAATGGCAGAGCTCCAGCCAGAACGTGACACGGATATTTTTTTTTCAAAACTTTCGCGCCCACCGCCCACTCCCCCTATCTGATGCTGAAGTTGTTATGGTTATTATATTCTTGCCTCTATTGTTGTTCGATCACATAATAATGGACCGAAGGAGGTCACCATGTAGGCCTCGAGCGTTAGGTTCTTCTTCGGTGTTCAGTTGCAATTGAAATTCTCCTATTCAGGGTCAGAGACGCCATCCCCAGAGCCAATGATATTATTTTTCTGCAACCGACACAAACGTCATCCATTTCAATACCAAAATTAGCTCTCGAATTGACGTTTCTGTTACTGACACAAAAATAGGTATGTTGCTAGGCAACACTTAAAGTTGAACTTTAGCTCCTAGGAACAAAAAAGGAAGTACTAGGTCATTAAGAATGAACAGCATTGATCATCAAGAATAATAGTAGATTGTTCTATTAGGATCAAAAGTGACATTTTGTTAGACAAGCGAATTTTGCATTTGCGAGGCGGAGCGTTTAGATATAGATATCGGTGTACCACAAGGATCAGTGTTAGGACCTTTATTATTTTTACTATATATAAAGGATCTCCCTCAATATATCGGAGGTACATCAATCACATTATTTGCTGATAATACCTCAATGTCGGCAGAAGCTGACAGCCTTGTGCAACTTCAGTCCAAACTAAACATCATAGGTGAAAGATTTACTGCATGCTGTCAGAGTAATAGACTGATAGTTGATGCCGAGAAAACTGTGCTAATTCAGTTTTCTGGTAGGAAACCTACGGATTCACCTATTTCTGTGAATATTAATAATATTACTTCACACCCTTTGGAAACAACAAAGTTTATGTGTGAATATATAGACACCGAATTGAAATGGAAACATCATATCAACTATGTATGTAAAAAAACCAATAGAAGTTTTTATGCTCTACTGCAGCTGTGAATATTCTTGTCGATGTCTATTATGGAATGGTGAACTCAGTACTTTCCTGCAATATTCTCCTGTGGGGTAATGGTACTACGATTGATCGGGCTTTTATTGATCAGAAACGCATAATCCGACTCATATATGGTCTGAAATATACCGAATCATGTAGACCTATTTTCAAAAAACATAAAATTCTAACACTACCCTCCATATGCATTTACAATTCTGTAATTTACGAGAAAAAACACGAATCCAAGTTCGAAAAATATTAAAATTATCATACTTATCCTTTACAAGGAGCGGTAATTTACTGAGGTTGAGACAACGCCGCACTCAGATTTTTCAGAAGTCACACTTCACAACATGTCCGAGGTTCTTTAATTCCCTGCCCCTAGATATAAAGGAAATATCATTTTTCGCAAAATAAAAAAAAAAGTGAAGTATTATCTACTGGAAAGAAGTTTCTATTCTGTGAAGGAATTTCTGGAGACAAAAATCTGAATTGGGGTGATTTTATTTTTTAAGTGATTGTATTTCAAATGTTTACCTCCCATCATTGTTTTGAATGTTCTGAATGTTAGACCCAATTTATCTTCATGTCATACCTCGTGTCATACACTACACTGTTTTACCACTAACCAAACCGATTTTTTAACGCCTCGACACGTGTTTCTCTAACTATGTTAGCATCTTCAGGAGAAGATTGAAACTAAATACCCTATTCTAGTGTGCTGCTTATATACTAGGTATATGTTCACCCAACTGTGAAAAATACTAACCGTCAAGTTAATGTAAACATTAAAGTTAATGTTATTATTATCATTATTATTCCAGTTAAAGTCTCCACACTGTTTGAATCTTTCCGTTTTCCTCTTCCAGGAGCACTCGACCCTGATCGGCGCAGATGAACACCTCGGCCCCGTCCTGCTTTCGATCAAGACCGAAATGGTGGCCAGCCAGGAGCACGCGCGCATCCTACTGCGCCTGCGCGCCGGCACCATGCACGAGATCGTGCCGGCGTCGTGTCTGGGCGCGGCGCCGACGCCTGCCCGCATGGCTCGGCTGCTCAACGACCAGCTCAACGTCGACAATTTCACGCCGGTGCTCCATCCCAAGGTAGGTGCTCGAAGGGATTCTTGGAAGTTGGTTTCTATCGCTCTTCTGGCTGCCACCTATCGTTTGCTATATCTTTATGCATGATTTCCTGCCTTTTTGTTCTTTTTCTGTCTTATTCTGCCTTGCTCTGCCTTTTCCTGCTTCCTCCTGGCTTCTCTTGCCTTCTCCTGTATCATCCTATATTCACATAGCTGGGGAAGCAAGCCATAAGATGAAAGCTTGACGAGAAGTCCGTGATGCCAGACTCGATCGAATGCCTTGGAGATATCAAGTGCCACGGCTAAGGTTTCACCATATTTTTCAATAGATTGCTGCCTTATATGTGAGACGTAAGCGAGCAGGTCACCAGTTGAATCTCTGATGACGGAAGCCATATTGCCTATCGTTGATAATACCTGAATGTTCCAGGTATTTCATGAGCTCGATGTTGATAGCTTTCTCCATGATCTTTGAAATAATAGATAGCAGTGCGATCGGTCTGTAGTTGCTAGGTTCTTAATGCCTTTTTTAGGAACTGGTTGTACTCTTGCAATTTTATAGAAGGACGGAAATATCCCCAATTTGTAAGAGTAGTTTAACAACTCGCCTCTGCTGTTCTCTAACAGGTGTTAGTTCGGGAGCACATTTCTTGAGAACAATCGGTGGGATTCCGTCGGAGCCACAAGCTTTGTTGGTGTTGAGACCCAATGAAATCTTCCTTATAGTACGTTGGCGAAAGGTGATCTCGGACATATGACTGTCAATTGGCGTTATGTTTGGAAGTTGTTTTCCCGATGAATCCAGAGTGGAATTTCCAGCAAATAAATGCGCAAAAATGTTGGCTCTACTGGGCAGTTGTGGCTAGTATTCCATCTTCCTTGGTTAGAGGAGGAAACGAGCTGTCTTATTCAGGCTCCTGTTTCCTTCTCCTGTTTTCTGCTGGCTCCTCTTCCTTTCCCCTGGCTCATCTTCTCTTCTCCTGACTCCTCTTCCCTTCCCCTGGCTCCTCTTCTCTTTTCCTGGATCCTCTTGACTTTTTCGGGGTCCTCTTGGATCCTGTTGTCTCATCTCAACTTCTCCTGTCTTCTGCTTTCTCTTATCATCTCCTTTCTTGTCCCATCATCTCCTGTCTTTCTTGCTTCTTTCACTTCTATGTCTTCTGTGCTTTCTATGCTTGCTGTGCTTTCAGTGTTTCATGTACTTTCTGTGTTTTCTGTGACTCATTCTGTTTCTTATGTGCCTTCTTTGTCTCTGTCTTCATTTCATCTCCTGTCTCATTTTTGTCTCCAGGTTTTATTATACCTTCTTCTGTCTCATCTGGATCTTCCTGTCATCTGATTTTTCATGTTTTTTTCTGTCTCTTCCTGTCTCTACCTTCTGTTCGTCTCCACTCTCCAGTCCATTGTCGCTTATATGTGTCTTTCAGGAGACTGGAGTCCTGTTTCTTCTATCCTAATAACGCCTCGTCCTACTATTGTTTATTCAGATGGTAGCCCTTCCTAAAAATTCGTTCAATGATATCATGCTTCAAATGTCATCCAACAAGCGTCATGTATCATACAGAGAACTGCACAAAAACGTTCCGTACGTACTGTAACTACTGAATCATTCGAGATCGGATTTTCAGATTTGGTGGGTAGCAAGTATACCAAATTACTCATTTATGAACTAAAAATATTTGTTTCATCAGTTCTGGTTCAAGTGGAAGCGACCTCAACTTTAAATAAATAAATATTCTTTGATCTCTAGATAGAAGTCCGCTTGCTCAAAGTGGAGTGAAATTTCTCAAAAGGAAGAATGAAAGCTCTCCATACTTTTAATGATGTAACAATTAATCAAGTCTGTTTGTGGAAACTTCTTACTATTGGGCTGAAGGTAGACTTTTCTTAGTCCGAAACATCTTTCCTTGATTAGTTGTCACATCATTGGAAGTGTGGAGATCATTTTGAGCTTTCTTCTTCCCTTTGAAATATTTTTTACCATTAAAAGAAGGAAAATGTGTATACTTGCCATGTGTCATATTATTCGATCTGATTTCCCGATTTTCTTTCGAAGGCCTCGCAGCTGATCGCCAACTACGACGAGCACGTGCTCGTGACCAACTTCAAGTTCGGCGTGCTGTACCAGCGCTTCGGCCAGACGGACGAGGAGGAGCTGTTCTGCAACAGCACCACCACCAAGCCCTTCGACGAGTTCCTGTCGCTGCTCGGCCAAAGGATACAACTCAAGGACCACAAAGGGTAAGGAGTGGGCCATGTACAGGGTGATTCAACTTAAATGTCCCCCCCTTCTCTAGCTCAGTTATTGTTAAACCGATTGCAAAATTTTAAATATCATCTAAAATGATTTTCGATAGAGTTTTTTTCCGCTACATCAGAAGATACGAGGTGCTCTGAACAAACGGTTTACAGGGTACTATTCGATTTTTTTCAAATGGAAGCCCTATTTTTCATTGTATTTTCAGATTCTCCCTGAAGAGCTGATCTCATCAATGCATCATACTTGGGGTCTAGCAAAAATTATTACCTACAGAGATATAGGGTGTTCAAAATCGAGATTTTTCAACTTTAGGATTTTTTCGTGACGAAACTATTCATTATCGGTAAAAACGGCGTGCATGTCCGTATCTTAACTCTTGATTCACTATCTATTGACATTTATTAATTGGAACAGATACAGGGTGATCAGAATTCTGAATCTTGAACCACACTATAATATGACTGTATCTTAATGATAATAATATGTAAGTTTTGTTCACTATTTGTAATTTCAATTATACAACAGTCGATAATACTTCATGAATGATCTTATACCAGGAATTACTGTCTGATCATTCATGTCATTCCTACTAGAAAATTAATTATACTTCATATATTATTTGTATGAAATGTATCAATGAAGAAGAGAATGTAATGCAATAACTGAAATAAATAAATAAAATAAATAAATCACAACAATTATAACTGTATATGTTCCAATTGAATGTCAGTAAATAGTAAATCGAAAGTTGAGAAAGGGACATTAAAGCCGTTTTGACCAATAATGAATAGTTTCGACACACAAAAATCCTAGTTGAAAAATCTCGATTGTGAACAACCTATATATCTGTAATCATTCCCGCTAGACCCCAAGTGTGATGCATTGATGAAGTCAGCTCTTCAGGGAGAATCTAAAAATACAATGACATACAGGGTGTTCCATTTGAATAAATCAAGTAGTACTTACTCTGTAGATCGTTTGTTCCGAGCACACTGTATTTTCTGATGCAACGGGAAAATATTTCTGAAAAATCATTTTAGATAATCTTTGACATGAATATGTATGCACGTGCGGACTTGAAGTAGCAGTTTACTGCCCAGTTTTGCGGTCGTAAAGTGGCACTTTACCGCCCGCAATTTTATGTTCTCATTCGATTCGGCATCGAAAATGAAGCTAACTTTGAATAAGATTATCTATGCCTACACTCAACAGTTTTCGAAATATTGGCGAATCAACATGTCTCAGTTCCAGAAAAGCTCGTATTCTTGAGTTTAATTAGGTGGCCATGGCGCCCGCAGTTGCGTTGGAAACAATCAACTGACACGGAAATGCCATTGAGATCAATTATGCCGGCTCGTTTGAATTATTCGAATGAAGATAACTTAAATCTATTTATTATTTGAAACAAATTCACAAAATCTCACTCTTCGTGGAAAATCTGTTTCTTTCAGATGCTGAACTATGGAGAACTTATATGGGTGACATTTATGTTTGCGCAGTATTCTATGTACTGAGTTTTTTACAATCCTGATTCTCTTGCAACTTGTCTCAAAGATATTGTTGGATATGCAGCAGAATATCCCAAAATGGCAATTTCAATATCTTCACCATCAACAATTGGCTTGTTTCTCTGCACCCTTGCTTTGACGGATCCATTTTGAAATTTTCTAATATTCGTTTGAAAGTATTTTGTGAGGGCTCCTGCTTCTGCAGATACCGAATAGCAAATATATCACATGTTCTTGAGATAACCCTATTACATTCGTCATAAATTAATAAATAGATGTAAGTAATTTTCATTCGAATATTCAAACGAGCCGGCATGATTGATCACAATGACATTTTCGTGGCAGTTGATTGTTTCCAACGCAACTGCGGGCGCCATTGCCAACTTAGAATCAGTAAACTCAAGAATACGAGATTTTCTGGAACTGAGACATGTTAATTCGCCAATATTTCGAAAACTGTTGAGTGTAGGCATAGATAATCTTATTCAAAGTCTCTTATCTTCATTTTTGATGCCGAATCGAATGAGAATATGAAATTGAGTTGTTTCCATTTGAAAAAATTGACTTATACAATAATTTTTTCAACTGGATTTGTATAATTTTCTGGTGAACGCCCTGTATAACTGTAATCGAATTGATATCGAAATTCTACTGAACTGGGTCCTCTCCTACGAATAGATCAATACACAATCGAGATTCAATGATCATGTCCAGAAATGAAACAAAATATTTTTCGGTCTGCAAACGCAGTTTTCAACTTGAAATTTGAAATATTTCGAAAACTGTTAGACTTGGGTATAGGACGTTGAACATGAAACATGTTTAGGATCATGCGTAAAATCTAAAACCTTGATAATATACAGAGTGTCTCATTTAAAATGACGAAGTTGGGATCCAGTTCCGGTACAACCGGAAGTGCCACAATCTTCAGAATATTTTAGCCGAAGAGCAATTATCAACAATAGTAACACTCCCAAATTTTCAAATTCGGCCCACCTATGGTTTTCTATATATTGATCGATGCAGTTCCCGGAGGGACACCCTGTATAGATATGCCGGTCTTATGGTATGCGGTGACCGTGACGCGAGTTTGCCGGTTTACTCCCATCCCATAAAGTGCCTAACGGGTCTATAGAAGTAATAACTTTAAAAAAAATCCAATAATAATGAATGTATTTCTGTTTTCTTTGATAGTTACCGTGGCGGTTTGGACATCCAGAACGGCCATACCGGCGACACGGCCGTCTACGAGGTGTTCAAAGAGCGCGAGATCATGTTCCACGTGTCTACGTTGCTGCCCTACACGGAACACGATCCGCAGCAGCTGCAGCGCAAAAGGCATATCGGCAACGACATCGTTGCCATAGTGTTCCAGGAGTCAGATGCCACTTTCACTCCGGATATGATTGCCTCGCACTTTCTGCACACGTTTATTGTGGTGCAGGCTATTGATCCCAACACGCCGGACGCCAGGTGAGAAATACATACAAAGACACTCTGCACTATTTTACCAACACCCTACACTATTTTACCAACACCCTACACTATTTTACCACTTACTTTGAGGCAGGTAACGTATTGGAGACGAGATTCATGTAGAGAGCTATGATACTAGCGGGGCAATTGGCAATTGTACATAAACATAAACATCGATCGACGAGCCAGTTGACGTAGTTGAGTGAAAAATTTGACACTGTCAAATTGATAACATAGCTTTGAAGGTCATAGCACTGACATAGAGACTAGGGTCCCTTGATGCAAACTAACGTATTTGTCATCTAACAGGGTACGGACAGATCATAGCTCCTTTCTCTCTTTTAATCATCTAGTGACTTTGGTTTCATGTATTGGCGTTCCTAACATGACATTGCTGTCACGTCACATTCATAGGCGTTAAAAGAGATCTTGCAAAATTTGAATTTCATACTTTATCTTAATAAGACATTATTCATTTATGTTTTGGAAGGATGGTAAAATGTGCTGCGTTAGGCTGAATCAATTAGTTGGATGGCAAAGGACCACGCACACATTATGTGGGAAAATGTCTTTTGGTGAAAATGGCTGGATTTTTGATATGTTGTAGCTTAAGTCAATCTGAATAAAAGACTCCATTGGCCCAACTCGATCGTATGACCAGATTCGGCGCTAGAGGGTGAAACAACATGAATTTCGTGTGTAGAGTGAGAAATGGATGCTACAAAATCAGACCACTATCTGATCGTTTTCAGGAAGCCTTTTCGCCGCTGTTTCAAGAGAAAAATCTTCCAAAAATTCTTTCCAAAGCTCTAAGTTGGAATTTGAATTATATTGATAAAGGGGTGAGAGAGGGTTGGAATGGATGCTACAAAATAAGACAACTATCTGATCTTGTTAAGTGACGTGTTCTAAATATATTTCTCATAGCAGATTGAATCGTTATACATAATATATTCGTTTCTAATTCGATATGAAAGAGTTTTATCGATATCGTCTCTCTGCGGCCTGCCCGTGTTAATCTCATTCGTTGCTGGATCTTGTCGCGTTGCTGCTTTCACACCGGTAACACATTGTACAATTACTCAAGGACCACCCTGTATAATAACTATTCCGTTCTCGTTCCTCAGATACAAAGTGAGCGTGACGGCGCGCGACGACGTTCCCTTCTTCGGCCCCACCCTGCCCACCCCCGCCATCTTCCGGCACGGCCCCGAATTCAAGGAGTTCCTGCTCACCAAGCTCGTCAACGCGGAGAACGCGTGCTACAAAGCCGACAAGTTCGCCAGACTGGAACTGCGCACGCGCACCTCGCTGCTACAGAGCCTCGCCGACGAGCTGCGCCTCAAGACGGCGGAGTTTCTGGGCGGGGCCGCGCAGCCCGCGCCCGGCACGCCCAAAGGGGACGCGGGGGCGGGGTCTCGCTTCATCGATACAGTGCGGAAGGCGTGGAGCGCCAGGGTGAGAACCAGTCAGAGCGCGGACAACGGGCTGGGCGGCACCGGGCACGAGAGGGCGGCGAAGAAGGGCGGGCAGGCGGCCGTGTCGGAGTCTACGCCGTCGGTGAGTAGGTTTTGTTCAGGGATTGTGGTGGATTTCGGTGACGTTTCGACTAATTTTGTGCTTTTATAGAATTACTACCTGTGACCCCGCAAACGTTTTTCCATAAACATCATTTGTAGAAAATGTTTTTTCAGTTGAATATTTATCACACTTTCATCATTCTGTTTTCTACTTCTCTTTAGTGTGGCAATTCATAAAAATGTGTTTCTTTAGTTTTTCAAACTGCTAGTTATTTTCTTTTTCTTTCCAGTTCGGCCATTAATCTCTCTAGTATTTTGAAATATACCATCTATTTTCTACTTCTTTTCAGTTTGGACTCAAGTTTGGCTATATATAAGAGCGTGTTTCATTATAGTTTTTCCAACTACTATTTATCAGAAATCTCATTCACCATATTGAAGCCGACATCTTGAATTTCCAAATTTTGTCGAAAGAATCATAATCTCTAACTCCGAAAACCCTCAGATAGTAATATTGAACAGAAGTGAATCATAATTTCAAAACTCGCTCGCCATATTGGATCCGTCATCCTGGATCCATCATCTTGAATTTTTTGTAATTTCGATGAATGAGTCATAATCTGCGTCACCGAAAACACCCAGATACCAATTTTGAATAGAATCGGAATAATTACCAAACTCGTCCGCCATATTGCAGCCGCCATCTTGAATTCTCAAATTTTGTCGAAAGAATCATAATCTCCAACTCCGAAAACCCCCAAATATTAATTTTGAACACAATTGAATCATAATTATTACAAAACTCGTTCGCCATATTGGATCCGCCATCTTGAATTTCTTAATTCCGACGAAGGAGTCATAATCTCCGTTAACAAAGACCCCCAAATACCAATTTTGAATAGAATCGGTTCATAATTACCAAACTCATCCGCCATATTGGAGCGTCATCTTAAATTTCTAAATTGTGTCCAATAAATCATAATTTCCAACTCCGAAATCCCCTAGATAGCAATTTTGAACACAATCGGATCATAATTATTGAAAAACTCGTCCGTCATGTTGGATCCGCCATCTTGAATTTCAAAATTGTGTCTTGAGAATCATAATCTCCAACTCCGAAAACTCCCAGACAGCTATCTTGGATTGAATCGGATGACAATTTAAAAACTCGTCCGTCATATTGAATTCACCATCTTGAATTTCTTGATTTTCACGAAGGAATCATAATCTCCAACTCCAAAAACTACCAGACAGCTATTTTGGATTGAATCGGATAATAATTTAAAAACTCGTCCGTCATATTGAATTCACCATCTTGAATTTCCTGATTTAGACGAAGGAATCATAATCTCCCACTCCAAAAACTCCCAGACAGCTATTTTGGATTGAATCGGATGATAATTCAAAAACTCGTCGAACATATCGAATTCACCATCTTGAATTTCCTGATTCTGACGAAGGAATCATAATCTTCGACTCCGAAAATCCCCGGATACCAATTTTGAATATTATATCCGCCATATCAAGACTGTTCCATTGACATCTGTTTGAAATTTATTTCATTTTCAGCCAGTTCCTTGTTCCAATTTCATTCGACAGTCGTTGGTTCTTGTCAATATTCATCCACTTTAGATATTGTAGATTCGACTATTTCTCTCAATATAATATAATTACAGTTAGAAACTAACACACCATTGAAATTGATGTCATGTTCATGAATTGTCAGTTCTCGTTTTTTTTCCTTGTCATGGGTATTTTCATTCTGACTGTGGGTGCTTGTCAGAGTTTTTGTAATCTAAAAATTTTAAAACGTCAAGAGAAAAGTGTTAAATACATTGAGAAACTTTACTGGTCACTACAACGTTTCATTTTCAAAATTTCAAATGAAGAAAAATCATTTTGGGATTTAGAAAAAACACATAAAATTGCAAATCAAAATCGTCATTGCTGATGTAAAAGTCGAAACATATGATTAAGAAATCATTTATCCGGTCTCAAATCAATGATTTCCATTTCGAATCTGTTTATTCTGAGTTTAAATCTCTCTATTTCCAATTTCAATCTATTTTTATCCCCAATTCGAATCCGTCGATTTCGAAATCAAAAAGGCATAGCGGTAGTACAAGTGAAAATTCGACCATGCGACCCGACACCGTTCTAACACCGCCCCATTCTTCTCTTTTCCAGAGCGGCCGCTCGACCTCGAAGACCTCCACCTCGTCCACCTCCAAGCAGAGCTCCACCGCGTCCCCACCACATGTCACGCCCACCTCCAGCGCCGCATCCTCGCCCGACCTCACCGCGCACGCCCCTCGCCCCTCCCACCGCGTCTCCGACGACCACGCCCCCCGCCTATCCGGCCCCGCCCACTCGGACGCCGCCTCCGACGATTCGTCGCTGACAAGCGAGGACCTCGAAGAGCACCTGGGCGGAGCATATGCGGACAGCGACACGGGGTTGGAGAGCATGAGCAGCGCGGAGACGGCTGCTAAAGGGTGCAGCGCGTGCGCGGAGAGGGCGGGGAGTGCACCGGGGGCGGGGCCTGGTGGAGTGGGGCGGTGTCCGGCGGCGGACAGGCTGGGACAGGAGGTGGTGCAGCTGAAGTGCGACAAGCTGGATTTGTTGAGGCAGAACGTGGTGAGTGTGTGGATTATTTATTTTCGATAATTACTTTGAACCTTTTTCAATTGTAATTCAGAAAGTATAAGATGTAATTCAGAGTAGTTAATTGTAATTCAGAAACTATATAACTCAAAATTCAGATTATTCAAATGTAATTCAGAAAACGTAACTTGTAATTCAGAATAGTGGAATGTAATTCAGAAACCGTCAATTGTAATTCAGAAAGCATAACTTGTAATTCAGAAAGTATCACTTATGATTTCATAGTATTAATGAATTACAAATGATGCTTTCTGAATTACAAATTACGCTTGATGAATTACAATTGACTATATTCTGAATTACAAGTTACACTTTCTGAATTACATTTCACTAATCTGAATTACATGTTATGCATTCTGAATTACAATTGACTAATCTGAATTACTATTGACGCTTTCTGAATTACAATTAACTATTCTGAATTACAAGTTACACTTTCTGACTTACATTTCACTAATCTGAATTACAAGTTACACTTTCTGAATTACAATTGAAAAAGGTGTAGTTTTGTTGCCTATACCGAGTGTCAACGAATTTATTAGACAACTCATAACTTCTAGAATATTAGGTGTGTCTCGAGTGCCTCAAACATCTCATTTCACGATCTTTAAAGAGTGTGGACACACTTGTCATAGTGTTGAACAGCTGAACAAAAAACAAGAGACACAAATATGTCACATAAGAGCTGGAATGTTATTTTGCTGTACCGCTTCATTGAACGAGGGAAGACATATTATTATTTGACAGTGACGTAACACCAAACGTACATAATGCTCATTATGTAGTTGTATCAATATTTTACCTGTAACGAATATGGGTTTGCACAATGAAGCTCAGTACAGAGAACAAGACCAATGTATAAGTAATCTATATTCTTCTTGAACATGACAATCTAAAATAGGGATAGTCTCAACATGATGATGTCTACAATAACATGTACTAAGTAACTCACCTAACACCAGGTTCAATTGCATTATGAAGATAGTATCGTATGAATCTGTATATCAACCACACCCCGAGGCTGCTAAATATATTTTATAAAAGAGAATATGATTTTTGAAAAAACAATTTCATGCAGCCGTCAATAACCATGACAACAATCTGGAAATCTGGACAGAATGTCACTCTATTTTATTGATAAACCATATGTCCTAGTATTCTGTTACACAACATTGAGTATTTCCATGAAATGAATATTGGAATTTGATGCTTTTTAACGAACACTAGAAATGTCTTCTCGTGTTTGGGTAACTGAAATATAGATGGTAATCATTATTCTCAGAATTTTTGCAATACATTACCGAACAAGACATATTCGAATACATTTTCGCGGGGACGCCTATTCAATTTTCAGAAGTGACGTTTCGAATCTGAAAATGATGACAATTCTAAAATGTCAGTGGTGATAAGCATGTCCACACTCTTTAAAGGGTATGTAATAAGACATTCAGGGCATTTTAGGTGTGTCAAAATAAATGAGATTCGGTGTACATAAATGGTATGTGAAAAGGAAAATTTTCGCATATTTTTCACTTTCCAGTCACTTCCGGTTTCACCGAAAATGGATCCAGTTTTCAGTTTTTTGATGGAACATCCTGTATATTGTAACATTTTTGTATTTCTGAGGCAACTCTGGATCAGGATGTGACATTTTTGAAAGTTTTTATGCTTATTTCATTCTTCAGAGTCACTTTTAATATTGCATCTAGGTGACCATTATCGGACATTACATTTTCGTGTCTAACTATTATTTTTCAAATGGCAATCATTTTTTGACAAGCATTTTTCATAAAAATGGTTTTTCGACGAATATAACTACAAACTATACTAATTTATTTGTAAGTGTATTGAAAACGAGAACATAAATTGAATATTACTATGGAAAGTACTGGATAATAATTATTCATTTACTTTTGTCAAGTGTGCCATGGATAACCATGGGGCATAGTATTTTGCAGTTATTCTTGTCAAGTCTTTGGAAAACAAAACAATCACTTAAGTAATGACAGTGACAGACAGTGACATATGAGCTTTAAGATCAAGAGTGAAAATTACCTTAATTTTGTGCAATATTGTTAAGTGACTAGAAACTTTTCATTAGACGTTAAAACTCCTCAAAATGTCACATTTTGATTCAGAATTGTCTCAGAAATTCAAAAATGTCACAATGTGAAGGATGTGTCACCTGAAAATTTGAAACTGAAGCTGTTTCCGGTCCGGACCAAAAAGTGAAAGATATGTAAAAACTCTCCTCTTCCAGTACCATTCACCTGAATTTAATTTTTCTTACACCTGATATTCTGGGAGTTATGACTGTAATAGATTCGTTGATACCCAGTATCAGTAGCAATACTGCCTTGATTGAGTTCCTCCTAGGCATTCCTGGGCAATATTTCCTAAATTATATACAGTGTCTTTCAGAAAGTTAGCATCATGTTGGGTAAACTTCAAATGATAATGGGGAAGTTTCCAATATTGAACTTTTTATCTCACTGTGAAGATTATTGAAATTCAATATACGTTTTTTTTGTAAGATTAAATTTTACTTCAGGAAAAATTAATGAAAAAGGAACTCATTCCTATAACTATCATATTCACAAAGAGTTAACCTACAATATGTCTAGATTTCCGGTAATTGTACTTTGAATACATTATAACTATGTCATAAGTTTTTCAATCTCACTTCGTCGAGTACTTTTAATATTTGTCATCAATCTCTTATTTGCTGGATGCAGTTGATTACTAATGAAGATTCATTATGATTCATTATGATATTTCGCAATTCACGTTCATTATTTTGCAAATGAATTCATTCCTTTAAAAAACGGATCTATTTTCTAGGAAAGTTGCAGATTATATCTTGCAACAGCGCATATCACTTTGATCTCAATTTGTTAGCCTATGCCCACAGTTTATAGTTACGACGAACGACGCCAAGTTGTCTTCTTCTTCTCCTCATGTTTTTTTATTCGTTTTTTATGCATTAGCTATTCCCTAGCTATATGCTATATTCATCATTATCAGCTATTTTTTACTACATTCAGAATGTATGTACAGGGCTAGTTTTATTAATGTGAACCCCTCATTATCTTTTTTGTTTTTCATCTATCCAAACAACTTCAGAACTGATTTTATATGATAAGTTTTCATACAGGTTCCCATCATAGTGACAGTGTTGCAATATCTCTTCAAATATACAGGGTCTTAAGAAATATATATATTTTTTTACATGGAATGCGCTGAATATTTTGATAGATATGAATCCCTTATATCATATATTTTCAATCAGGATGAACTGAGGAATTCAAATCTTATCAAAATATACACCGTATTTCATTGAAAAAAATAGTTTTTGCTGTATACCCTGTATATTTGAAGAGATATTGTATCATTGTCAATGTGAGTAAAATCTGTTTGAAGAATTATATAATTTGTGCTTAATTTTTTTTTAATCAGTCGAAAACAAAAAAGATGAAGGGGGGTTCACATTAATGAAACTAGCCCTGTACATACGTCACAGATTGCCGCCCCGAAAATAATAGGTAATTGCTTTATTTTAAAAATAAAAACGACTCACTGTATCGATTGCGATTCTGTACAGCGTGGACATAAAACTGCATGAAACTGAGAAGTTCCGAACCTTTTTATGAAAATGCATCTGAAGGAAACTTCCCCATTTGTGAAATATTGTTAGGAAAACTCTATTCCGTGAATCGAGATGTATGTCCAATGTCCATTCTAATGAATTTATTTTCTTCCAGAATTGCCAGCGAGACATCAAAAGATTGCGGGAGAAAGAATTGGGGCTGCAAGGCGATCTGGCAGTGGCTACAAAGGAAATTTTGAGGTTGCGAGAATTGTTGAAAGATTACTCTCCCAACGGAGACAGATCTCCGATGTAAACGAGTTTTTACATCAACTAGATGAAAGCTTTATGTTTCTGTAGTTTTTACTCTTTTAGGCTCTCCAGTTTCGTTTTCTTTCTTTCAAGAATGTTTTTCAGTTTCATGTTGGGTCTTATCAGTTATCTAACCATTCGGAAAACAGTGGCGTAATTAAGATTCATCCCTGAGGGGGTCTATAGGTCCAATATCCAATATTTGGGAACAAGAAGAGCAATATGGAACACACCTTGAATTTGATAAATGTGTGTATCATTTGGTAACAATAACACAATAAAGAACTAAGTATTGAAAACTGAATCAAATAATATCACATATCAACAGGTACAAACATTGAAATAGGAACAAAAAAAAAACAAAATAACGAAAATAAAAAATTCCACTATTTCAGCCCTGAGAAATAAAATTAAAATAATATTAAACTTGAAAAGAACCGAGAAAATTACCTAATACCTACTCTCACATTCTCATCGCATCACAGGACAGGCAGAAAGAATATTCATTTACATAGGGTTATTATCTGACCTCTGATATTCATTCCGAGGTTGTATTACAAATTATAAATTAAATTCCCATGATATTTTCTATTCTGATGTCTATTTTTCCTTTATTATAATTGTTATTGTTCCATTTGTTCAGACAACTCTGAAGGGGGAGGGGGGTCTAGACCCAATGGGTCCCCCTTTAATTACGCCACTGCAGAGAAATAGCTTTATAGATACACCAGCGTAGAGGTAAAACGTGCAAAGCAAATTACATCCCTCGGAATGTTTCCGGAAAATATATTTAGTTTTGGAAGTTTTCAAAGAAAGAATGTTGGTTTGAGGAAAATTTAGTTTTTACTAAAAGCTAACCAATGTAGTCCAAGTGGCTGCAAATTTCGACAGTCATCTGATAACGAAATGATATATTATGTCCCAGAAGCATGGAAAAACATTGTGTTTTATCAAGCGGCAAATGTGCCAATGCCTATCCTGAGCAAAATGATTCGAAAGTGTGGCACTTTCCTGTGCGGTTATTTGCATTATGCCGTACAGCATCCGTCATGTGATAACGAGTTGAAATAGAAAGCAAATAAAAGGAGATACTAATAATAACGTGCCTCTATTCGAACTGATCTGAGTTAGTGGCAGAGCGTCAATATTTTCGTGAATATTTCACCCCCTGTCGAAAAATAATAATATCCGATGGACCAGTGTACAGCTCAATATGTGGATTTGAATAATTGTCAGAGTCTTCACGTATATTTTGAACCCCCACTTAACTTTCGTATGTATTGTTAATTTTTTTTTCAAGGAAAGTTCTTTTATATTTCTTTCCTGAAGATTTCATATATGCCAACAGAAAAACAGTTGAACATCTCGAAGAATACTAATGGGCAACATTTTCGATTTTTTCAATAGGACACCCTGTATTTTTTTTTTAGATTCTCCCTGGATAGCTGATTTCGTTGATCTAACACAGTTGGGGTCAAGCTGAAATGATGATTTCATGTCCCTATCTTAACTTTTGATCCACTATCTACGTACATTTACTTGAAACAAATACAGGGTCATCAGAATTCTAGATTTTTCACCACCCTCTGTATTCGTTTCAATTGAATGTCAGTAAATAATACATCAAAAGTTAAGATAGGGACATGAAAACCGTTTTGGTCAATAATGAATAGTTCCGACACAAAAAATTCGTGAAGTTGAAAAAAAATCTCAATTTTTCACACCCTATATCTCTGTAATCATTTCAGCTAGACCCCAACTGTGATGCATCGATGAAATCAGCTCTCCAGGGAGAATCTAAAAATGCCATAAAATACAAGATGTCCTATTGGAAAAATTATAAATGTTGCCCATAAGTATTTTTTTAGATGTTCAACTGTTTTTTTGTTGGCATATATGAAATCTACAGGAAAAAATATAAAAAAAAGTTCCTTGAAAAAAAATTTACCAATACATAAAGAAGTTGAGTGGGGGTTCAAAATATACGTGAAGACTCTGATGTACACATGAGTTTTACACTGGTCCATCGGATATTATCTTCAGACAGGGGCGATATGTTCTCGGAAGTTTTGACGTTCTGCCACTAAGATTAGTATGTCGCAGCACGTTTGGATTTTCGCAAACTCAACTCAACTCGTTTTCACATGACGGAAGTATTCCGGAATTATGGCAGCAAATAAATCACTGTGCTATGGATTTCACTCATATTGAAGGGTGGCATAGGTACTCGCTAAGCAAATTTGGAAGCAAAGTTGATACAAGGTTGTAGCAATTACTGAAACAAACGTTCAGAAATATTGCAAATGTAACGTTCCAGCAATGTCACATATGTTATATTGCTGCAATGCTACATTATCAAACTTCACCTTTGCAATATTGATGAACGTCCGTTTCAGTAGAGTCCGACCACGATAACTTTGGGACAGCACGTGGTCGCGTATGCATTGAATATGCATATGCGTTGCGTCACATGCTGTTCCAAAGTTAACGTGGTCGGACTCTAATTGCGTCAACATTGCATCAACATAGCCTTCATCTTTGCTTAGAGGGTAGGATTTCGAGATCTACCATTCAATTGGTATCAGATAGCATAATTCTTATCACGTTATCCAATCGCGAAGGAAAGTGCAATTTTTCAATCATTTTGCTCAAGATAGTGATTAGCACAGGTGCCGTTCGATGAAATACAATATTTTCACATGTCTTTGAAACCTATAACATTTCGTTAACAGATTACGGTGGAAATCTGCAGCCAGATCACCTACTATAAGGGTCATCATTGTAGAGATGTTATTTGTTTTCTTCTGTTGTTTTATTTCTATAGCATTGACGCAATGTTAGGTCTATTTGTGGATCATGTCAATTAGATGTTTGCACACCTAATATTATAAACATGGAGTAATAATTTCACATCACAACTTTGAACTTACGAAATTTGTTTTGTTTTGTGATATTTTTTATATTTTTATGCTTGTGTATTTTTCTTTTTTTTTTTTTTTCTCGAGGATTTTATTTTTAGTTTTTAAATATTTATTAAAAGGATTATGTATATTATCGAATAAGAACTTTACCAACATAATTATACCAAAGTTAACATTCCCCAAAAATTCTGTTTCAGAAAATTTAATTATTTACTAAGTGTATATAACAACAAAGTATTTATTAGCAATTAAGTTTGTCTGTATTTAGCAGGAATCCTAGTTTGTGCAGATATTGTTATAGATTCTTTATTTTTACTTTGTTCAAATATTTTTAAGTTTGTACAACTGCAATATGTATTAACTAAAGTAGATAGATTTTATGTATGTATAACTTGTAGTAGTGTACATAACTTTCTCACTTAATGTCTGGAAAAACAATCATTTAGGAAAATTATCTACTTGTGATGTTTGTTAGTTTCAGATTTCTTCAATCTGTTGATTCTTTTCTGTATTTGAAAGAATAATTGCAAATAACATCATTGAATGTTATAAGTATGATTTTTTTTCCTTTAACTTTTTTCAATTAATTTTTGAATTATATTAATTCACAATTGAATCAAAACTATTATTATTTTGCAAACATTCTTTTTACATAAGTGCACGGAGATCAATCAATCAATGAACACAATAAGAATAAGTCATTTCTATTATTTCTATGAAAATGCTTTCTTTTATCGTTTATAGGTACCTAATAATTACTAAGTGTTCTTTTGTACAAGTTATAACTGTTTTGAATGTACATTGATTTTGTCTCTGACATCAGTTTTGCTGCATCAAGATCTATTAAAATACTTATGTATATCAATACTCGTTTTTTTTCATGCATAAACTCAATGTTCATAATTATGAAATGGCCTTCATAGAAAGAAGTATAAATAAAAAAATCTGCCTATACAGGGCTTCCACTATGAGCGTTTATTAGACGTTTCTGGCAAATCAGCCAATGGATGAATCTAAAAATTTCATGGTAAGTATGAATTTGAGGTCAGTTTGAAAAGGAATATTCTCAGATATATTATGAACATCACAAAAATTTATACATACAGAGTGAGCACGTAAAGATTGGAACAAATTCGTTTAAAGCTTAATATGGCCACTGCGGAAAAAACGCTCAGAGACGTTGATTTTCTTTTTATTTCGATTTGATAATAATGCAATGTCTTATATACAACTTTCAATTTATTCACTTGTTCACTTTACGTCTTACAATTACAAATGACGGCTCACGCGCAAAAGGATAGAAAAAACAACATGGAAGACCTAGTGAAAAATGCTGTCAATAAAATGCATCTTTTTTATGTTCTGGTTCCGACAAAAAGGGATATACTGTAATGTTCAGAGAACACCGTGAGAACCATGGGATTTTTTTTATCGCTTGGAGCGCACGAAAGGGAATCCCTATAATGTTCAAAGAACATCGTGCGTTCCTAGGGAGGATAGGGACAGGAGGTAGGTATTGGAATTTTTTTTGAACTTTTGGAGATTATAATATGTTGTTCCACAGGTGTTCTTAAATTTCTGAGGGTTATATGTTTCGGGGAACACCTCCCTTGGCAATGTGTTCCAGAGCCTCGCTGCTCGTTGGATAAACAAGTATTTGGAAAGAGTATGTTCTGCAGGTCTCCAAAGTGACCACGAAGGGGTGCGAAGCTTCAACTTGACGGGTTAATCTCGCGGGGACTGCCAAGGGAGGAACAATTGTTGATATTTCAGAAGAGCATCGTCCATGAAAATATCTATAAAATAGAGCAAGATCGCCGACTTTCCTACGGTGTTCCAGAGAAGTGAGTGAGTTCGTGAGCGAGGCATCACCCACGAGGACGAACTCCCCTTTTTTGGACAGAATCCAACAGTTTCAGGGTATGTTTGGGTGCTGTACTCCAAATATGGGAGCAGTATTCCAGGACAGGTCGGATCTGTGCCTTATAGAAGCAGCTGACTAGAAGTGAAATAGCTCCTGGCCCGAAAGAGAAAACCAAGTTTTTGGGATGCACTTTTAGCAATTGATCTCACGTGATTTCCCGCAGAAAGGTTATTGCTGATAGTAATACCAAGCATCGAAATGGATGTCTTCAAAGGTATGGTTACTCTTGACAAGCTTATGTTGGGCACAGTGAGATCGGCTTTTCTAGAGAAAAGGCATGCTTGTGTTTCGTTCGCATTGAAATCTACCAAGTTATTGGATCCCCATTCGAGAATTGTTGCCATGTCCATATTTATGTTGTCAACATATCTTCCTCGTTCTTTTCTGATTTGCCTGTCTGGTATTGGAGCCCTGGAAGGGAAGCCGGTATGGAGGGTACTATCATTCGCGAAGCTGTGTACTGGACATGAAGTTGCTCCCAACAAATCGTTGATATGGTATG